GGGGCCAAAGTCACATTTTTTACCGATTAGAATCCTGATCATTCAGGGGTTACCAAGAGTCTGCTACTCACTGTAGTTAATAAACAGAGCAAACTGGTCTCTATTCTATCTCATGCACTCAGGCACAACTTTTCCGGGTTTAAAAACAAAAAAAAACACCTGTCTCTACACCTCTATCCCCAGGAGGAGCTCACTCTCTGGCGCCAAGCTCCCTGGGGTGAGTTTTCTTCTAGAAGAGTCCAGGGGAACAGGTAAGGAGTGGGAGGCAGGGAACCCAGTTCTGGGATGGGGATTCCGGGATGAAAACTGAAGAGGGATGGGGCCCATGACGAGGGTTTCTCCCTGGTTTCTCAGACGGTTCTTGGGCCAAGACTGAGGGAGACATTGAGACAGAGGCTTGGCACAGGAGGAGCGGGGTCAGGGCGAAGTCCATGGCCCCAGGCGTGGCTCTCAGGGTCTCAGGCCCCAAAGGCTGAGTATTGATTGGGGAGGCCCAGCGTTGGGGATTCCCCATCTCCACAGAGTTTCTCTTCTCCCTCTCCCAACCTATGTAGGGTCTTTCTTCCTGGATTCCCTGTTCTGAAGTCCCCGCGAACCCATTGGGACTCAGATTCTCCCCAGACCCCAAGGATGGGGTCATGGCGTCCCGAACCCTCCTCCTACTGCTCTCGGGGACCCTGGCCCTGACCGAGACCTGGGCGGGTGAGTGCGGGATCCAGAGGGAAATGGCCTCTGCGAAGAGGAGCGAGGGGCCCGCGCAGCTGGGGCGCAGGACCCGGGGAGCCGCGCCAGGAGGAGGGTCGGGCGGGTCTCAGCCTCTCCTCGCCCCCAGGCTCCCACTCCATGAGGTATTTCAGCACCGCCGTGTCCCGGCCCGGCCGCGGGGAGCCCCGCTTCATCTCCGTGGGCTACGTGGATGACACGCAGTTCGTGCGGTTCGACAGCGACGCCGCGAGTCCGAGGATGGAGCCGCGGGCGCCGTGGGTGGAGCAGGAGCGGCCGGAGTATTGGGAAGAGGAGACACGGAACACCAAGGCCCACGCACAGACTGACAGAGTGAACCTGCGGACCCTGCTCCGCCACTGCAACCAGAGCGAGGCCGGTGAGTGACCCCGGCCCGGAGCACAGGTCACGACCCTTCCCCATCCGCACGGACCGCCCGGATCCCCCCGAGTCTCCGGGTCCGAGATCCGCCCCGAGGCCGCGGGACCCGCCCAGACCCTCGACCGGGGAGAGCCCCAGGCGCCTTTACCCGGTTTCATTTTCAGTTTAGGCCAAAATCCCCGCAGGTTGGTCGGAGCGGGGGCGGGGCTCGGTGGGCGGGGCTGACCGCGGAGGCGGGGCCAGGGTCTAACACCCTCCTGATAAAGTATGGCTGAGACTTGGGGCTGGATGGGCGCCTCCTCCGCGGTTATGAACAGCACGCCAAAGATGGCAAGGATTACATCGCACTGAACGGGGACCTGCGCTCCTGGACCGCAACAGACACGGCTGCTCAGATCACCAAGCGCAAGTGGGAGGCAGGGGAATTTGCAAAGCAGGTCAGGGCCTACCTGGAGGGCATGTACGTGGGGTGGCTCCGCAGACACCAGGAGAACGGGAAGGAGACGCTGCAGCGCGCGGGTGCCAGGGGGCAAGGGACGCCTCCCTGATCGCCTATAGATCTCCCGGGCTGGCCTCCCACAAGAAGGGAGGGAAAATGAGACCAACACTAGAATGTCGAACTCCCTCTGGTCCTGAGGGAGAAGAATCCTCCTGGGTTTCTTTCCAGATCCTGTACCAGAGAATGACTTTGAGGGTCTACCTTGCTCTCTGATACAATTAAGGGATGAAATCTCTGAGGGAATGAAGGGAAGACAATCCCTGGAATACTGATCAGGGGTTCCCTTTGACACCGGCAGCAGCCTTGGGCCCCGTAACTTTTCCTCTCAGGCCTTGTTCTCTGCTTCACATTCAATGTGTGTAGGAGTCTGAGTCCAGCTCTTCTGAGTCCCTCAGCCTCCCCTCAGGTCAGGACCAGAAGTCGCTGTTCCTTCCTCAGGGACTAGAATTTTCCACGGAATAGGAGATTATCCCAGGTGCCTGTGTCCAGGCTGGTGTCTGGGTTCTGTGCTCCCTTCCCCACCCCAGGTGTCCTATCCATTCTCAGGAGGGCCACATGCGTGCTGCTGGAGTGTCCCATAAGAGATGCAAAATGCCTGAATTTTCTGACTCTTCCCGTCAGATCCCCCCACAACACATGTGACCCACCATTCCATCTCTGACTATAAGGCCACCCTGAGGTGCTTGGCCCTGGGCTTCTACCCTGTGGAGATCACACTGACCTGGCAGTGGGATGGGGAGGACCAGACTCAGGACATGGAGCTTGTAGAGACTAGGCCCGCAGGGAATGGAACCTTCCAGAAGTGGGCAGCTGTGGTGTGCCTTCTGGAGAGGAACAGAGATATACGTGCCATGTACAGCATGAAGCA